TTTTGAGACAAAGAATCTCACTCTGTCACCTGGCTGGAGTGCAGTGGCATGTTCTCGGCTCACTACAACCTCTGCTTCCTGGGCTCAAGCAATTCTAGTGCCTTAGCCTCCCAAGTAGCTGAGACTACAGGTGTGCACCACCATGCCCCACTAGTTTTTGTATTTGTAGTGGAAATGGGTTTTCACCATGTTGGCCAGGATGGTCTCAATCTCTTAACCTTGTGATCCTCCCTCCTCGGCCTCCCAAAGTGCTGGGATTACAGGCCTGAGCCACCGTGCCCAGCTCTTTTAAAGTATCATTGTCAACTCATAGATTTGGACATGTTTCAATCCATTACAGTCATTATTATTATTATTATTTTGAGATAGGAGTCTCACTCTATCACCCAGGCTGGAGTGAAGTGGCACAATCCTGGCTCACTGCAACTTCTGCCTCTCAGGTTCAAGCGATTCTCCTCCCTCAGCCTCCCAAGTAGCTGGGATTATATGTGCACACGACCACACATGGCTAATTTTTTTGTATTTTTGGTAGAGACATGGTTTCACTATATTGGTCAGGCTGGTCTCGAACTCCAGACCTCAAGTGATCCACCCACCTTGGCTTCCCAAAGTGCTGGGATTACAGGTGTGAGTCACCGCACATGACCTACAGTCATTATTCTTAATAATGCTCAAACTCTTCCATTGGGAGCCTCTCCACGTTGTCTCCTGCATCCTTTTCAGTGTAACCCTAGAGATCATTGACAGCTTCCTTGCTATGAAGGAAGCAAGGAATGACCAGATGTTCCATGTTCCTCTTTACTTTTTTTCTTGCCTCAGACCTAGAATTGATCATGTCTCCATGCCCTTTCTAGTTGGGAGTGGTATTTAGAGACCATAACCTGGCTGCTAGGTGTTCACTGCTACTGGATGGCTCATTATTTCTAAACTTTGCTGTGGACAGAGCTAGCAAACACCTGCTTTACTTTGTAAGACAAAAAAAAATACAGCACAAATTCATATTGATGCTTCCAATTCCAATTTGGGGTTACAGGTTTTTCACCTTGTTTCTGTGATCTTACATGGTATCTGCGTTCTCATAGTAGATGAACCAGTTGCTTCCAGTGTCCTCTGTGTGGGTCCTCACAACTAGCTTCTCTGCATCCTGGCTGCACAGTGGCATCACATGGGGAAGTATAAAAACTCTCTGATGCCTGTCCCCACCCACCTTAATCACAATGAAGTCAGATTCTCTGGGTCTGGGATACTACCATCATTCTTTTTTTAAAAGAATTGCAGGTAGGCTGGGCATGGTGGCTCACGCCTGTAATTCCAGCACTTTGGGAGGTCAAGGCAGGCAGATCACCTGGGGTAAGAGGTTTGAGACCAGCCTAGCCAACATGGCAAAACACTGTCTCTACTACAGCTACAAAAATTAGCTGGGCATGGTGGCAGGCACCTAAAATCCCAGCTACTTGGGAGGCTGGGGCAGGAGAATCGCTTGCACCCGGGAGGTAGAGGTTGCATTGAGCTGAGATCGAGCCACTGCACTTCAGCCTGGGTAATGGAGCTACACTCTGTCTCAAAAAAAAAAGAATTGCAGATAATTCTAATGTGTAGGTGGGAGTTAGAATCCTGCTCTGTTCCTTGATTCTTGGGCTAGCGGATGAATTCTGCCTTCAAAGCCCATTAGCTTAAGCTTGAATTCTTGCACTGCCAGGTTCTAGCTATGAAGGCTGAAACTGATGGGCGTGGTGGCTCACGCCTATAATCCCAGCACTTTGGGAAGCCGAAGTAGATGGATCCCCTGAGGTCGGGAGTTTGAGACCAGCCTGGCCAATGAAACCCCATCTCTATTAAAAATACAAGAATTAGCTGGGCGTGGTGTCACGTACCAGTAGTCCCAGCTACTCAGGAGGCTGAGGCAGGAGAATCGCTTGAATCCAGGAGGCAGAGGTTGTAGTGAGCTGAGATTGAGCCATTGCACTCCAGCCTGGATGATAGAACGAGACTCCATCTCAAAAAAAGGAAATCTGAATCAGTGCTCATCAACAGCACTTGTGCAGCTGTCAAATGGTCTATATCTGCACTGTCCAGCGTGGTAAACTTCAGCCACACAGGACTGTCAGGCACTTGAACTCATTGCTAGTGTAACCTAGGGAGTAAACTTTAAGCTTTATTTAATTTTAACTAATTTACACATCAGTAGCCACAAGGGGCCATAATAGCTACTATCTTGGATAGCACTGCTCTAGAAAATTACCAAACGTCTCGTGGCTTCACATCTGTAAAATAGGGAATAATAAGGGTTATTTCACGGGATATTGTCAGGATTAGACATAAAGTATAGAAAGTTCCTGGTTCCCACAAAGCACTCAATAAAATGCTGCTTGCTTATTAACATCAGCCTGATACTTAAAAAAAAAATTTGGAAAACAAATGTTCAGAAGCACCCTACCACAGAAGCTAAAAACTCGGAGCCATTCCAGAGCAACTCAGAAAATATTCCTTAATTGTAGAAGTTCAATTGCAGCAGGAGGTTATCAGTTACAAGGGCTGTATTTCATTACCGAGCCAGCCGCAGCTCAATAAATTAAGCAATCACTCAGAATAACATGTTGCTTTAATCCCCTCTCTTGGAGCGGTTCCAAGTTGCTTGGTTTTATATGCGCTCGGCCCTGAAAGGCAACTCATACTGGGCTCATTTCTCTCCCCTCAATTCATCAGCCCTGCTCTGGAAACATCTTTGCATCTCCCAACTGGCAGGAGAGAGGATTCCAAGCCAAGCAGCCCTCCTTTTATCAAAACTGGAGTCTTTTCCATCCTCTGGCCTTGACACGTTCCACGTTTCGTTTGCTAAAATTACTGGCAGGTTTATCTGCAATGAAAAAAAAAAAAAGACACCTCTTAGCAGCCCAGTTCTGGGCATGTAGAGCTAATTCTCGGCGGCTTTTCCATTCTCGTCTTTTCTCTAGTGGTTTATAATCTCACAGTAGAATGTTGTTTCCCCTGGAAACTTGGCACGGGAGGTGTCAGCCTGGGAACATATTTGTTTGTGTAAATTAAAATAAGAATATGTTTTGGCCGTATTTAAGTTCTAACTGCACTAAAGAAATAAATACTGACTTGCAAAACGCTTCTCGCTGCTGCACGGTTCTGGCTCACCTCCCCAAACTCTGCCTTTGTTAATAAAACCCACACTAACAAGAGCTCTAAATAACTTATCTGCTCAGACAGCTACAGGGACAGCCTCAGAGCCCATGTCCGCCCTGACCCAGGCCCACATCGAAAATCCACTTACCTCATTTGGGATTTGCTTCTCCTGACGCACTGAATTCTTGCTGGGGTAGAAAAGGGTATAAGAAACAGCACCCTTACAGGCGTAGGGTTTTTTTGTTTTTTGGGGGGAGGATAGGGTTTTACTTTGTCACCCAGGCTGAGGTGTAGTGGTGCAATCACAGCTCACTGCAGCCTTGACCTCCCGGGCTCAAGCAATCCTCCTGCCTCAGCCCCCCAGGTAGCTGGCACTACAGGCGTGTGTCACGATGCCTGGCTAATTTTTTTATTTTTTGTAGAGACAGGGTTTTGCCATGTTGCTCAGGCTGGTCTTGAACTCCTGACCTCAAGCCATCTTCCCACCTCAGCCTCTCAAAGTGCTGGGATTACAGGCGTGAACCACTGAGCCCTGCCTCTACAGGTATACCCTTGATGTGCCTGTGAATGATAACCTTTTGAAGGCCCTGGGCAATAGCTGTAGAAATTTAAAATGCACACCTCTTGGCCGGGAGTGGGGGCTCACACCTGTAATCCCAGCACTTTGGGAGGCTGAGGCAGGAGGATGGCTTGAGCCCAGGAGTTCAAGACCAGCCCAAGCAACACAGTGAAAGCCAGTCTCTACTTAAAAAATATAAAAAAATTAGCTGGATGTAGTGGCGCATGCCTGTAGACCCAGCTATTTAGAAGGCTGAGGCAGGAGGATGGCTTGAGCCCAGGAAGTGGAGGTTGCAGTGAGCGGACATCACTCTAGCCTGGGCAATAGACAGAAATTGTCTCAAAAAAAAAAAAAAAAAAAAAACTTCCTCTGACTGAGAAATTCCACTTCTAGGAATTTATCCTACAAGTATTCTTGGCCACATGCCAAAGACTATAGATGTTATAAGGGCAAAATCCTCGAGTTAACTGAAATGTTGGCCAGTAGAAGACAGGTTAAGTATGATGCGATGCTGGAAGTCATTAGGAAGAATGAGGTGGTCCGAGAGCTGTCGGGATATATTATAGCACCCCCAACTTTCTTACCAATATGAGCCAAGAAAAGTGCATGCTTTCAAAATTTATGAAGATCGTGCAAACTGCCCGCAGTGGTCACGTCTTATAAAGTAAGGTTAGAGTTAAAGAAAAATTGCAGGGCAAACGTGGTGGCTCAAGCCTTTAGTCCCAGCACTTTGGGAAGATGAGGTGGGAAGACTGCTTGAGGCCAGGAGTTCGAGACTACCTGGGAAATATAGTGAGGCCCTGTCTCTACAAATAACATTAATAATAAAAAGAATTAAACAAAAGCGGTGGCATGAGCCTGCAGTCCCAGCTACTCTGGAGGCTGAGGTGGGACTATTGCTTGAGTCCAGGAGTTCATGGCTGCAGTGAGCTATGATCACACCACTGTACTCCAGCCTGGGTGACACAGTGAGACCATGTCTCTAAACAAAATGAATAATTAAAACAGGCAAATCGCCCCTTTATTTCCACCTTATTCTCTTTTGTATATTTTTTTTTTTACTATAGGCACAGTTGCATTTTAAAAATTTGGGATAAAGAACACACAATGGTGTTTTAAAAATCATTTCCACACTGTGAGCTGCAGTAGTAATCATACCACAATAATATTCTCTGTATTACATGCCTGCTGGGACAATGGAGTGGGGGCGGGTGGTGGTGGTGAGAATCTTTGCTTTTCTGATTTCTTTATGTAGATAACCTGCAGTGGGCTAAATGGCTGTCCCCAGGGAGATCATAAGTATGTCTACTTTCAAATTGAATCGCTGGGAAAAGACTGATTAAGGATCTTGAGAGGAGGCATTTGTTCTGGATTATCCGGATAGGAACGAAATGAAATCCATGTATCCTTATAAGAGAGAAGCAGAGACCAGGACAGAGAGGAGGAAGGTGAGAAGATAGAGGCAGAGACTAGAGTGATGCAGCCACAAGCCAAGGAATGCCAGAGCCACTAGAAGGTGGAAGAGACAAGACATCTTCCCTAGCGTGCCTGGAGGGAGTGTAGCCTGCTAGATTTCCAAGTTCTGGCCACTAGAACTTTTTTTTTTTTTTTTTTTTGAGACTGAGTTTCGCTCTTGTTGCCCAGGCTGGAGTGCAATGGCGTGATCTCGGCTCACTGCAACCTCCGCCTCCTGGGTTCAGGCAATTCTCTTGCCTCAGCCTCCTAAGTAGCTGGGACTACAGGCACGTGCCACCATGCCCAGCTAATTTTTTATATTTTTAGTAGAGACGGGGTTTCTCCATGTTGACCAGGATGGTCTCGATCTCTTGACCTTGTGATCCACCTGCCTTAGCCTCCCAAAGTGCTGGGATTACAGGCGTGAGCCACTGCGCCTGGCTGGCCACTAGAACTTTTAAATAAATCTGTTGTGTGAAGCCCTGTGGTCTGTGATAATTTGTTATAGCAGCCCCAGGAAAAAGATACAACCATAGTTTCCTTATACCTATTAGAAGCAGCATGAAATGCACAGGTATTTGAGAAAACAACTTTGGTAGACCTGTGTGTGTTGGCAAACACAAAGAATCCATTCCACAGATATTCACTGAGCATCTGTTAGGTGACAGGCACAGTTCTAGGTGCTGAGGATACAGCCAGCAAAGAACACAAGATGCTTGCCCGCCTGGAGCTGACATTTCAATGACATAAAAGTAAACAACGTAGATGGAACACAGAAGAGGGTAGATGAGGGTAGAAGGTGCTAGAGAGTGTGAGAAGCTAGGAAAGAGGGACGGGGGTTTCCAGGAAGGGGTACTGGAGTAGAGGCTTGAAGAAGGTGAGGGCATGAAGGATGTGTCTACCTGAGGGAAAAAGGTAAATAGGGGCTGGTCATGGTGGCTCATGCCTGTAATCCCAGCACTTTTGGGAGGCCAAGGCAGGTGGATCACTTGAAGTCAGGAGTTCGAGACCAGACTGATCAACATGGTGAAACCTGCCTCTATTAAAAAAGAAAAAGAAAAAAGTACAAAGTTACCTGGGTGTGGTGGCACATGCCTGTAATCCCAGCTACTTGGGAGGCTGAGGTAGGAAAATTGCTTGAACCCAGGAGACGGGGATTGCAGTGGACCGACATGGCGCCATTGTACTCCAGCCTGGGTGACGAGCGAAACTCCATCTCAAAAAAAGAAAAACGAAAACAGGTAGGCAGAGGGAACAAATACAGAACTTAAGCCTATGAGTGACAGATTGGTTGGACCAGAAAAAAATAGGAAAGAACTCCTTTTCTCCTTCCTCCCCTGCCTCCCTCCGATACTTGTGACCTGCCTGGTGTGTACCAGGGCCTGGGGTACAGAGATGAATGAGGCCTCATCCTCAAGCTCAATGTCTCCCCTAGTAGGGGGACAGTCATAAACAAATCATTACAAATTAAATGTGGTAGGCGCCACAGCAGAGGCCAGGGCAGGCTGCACACGCGGGCTAGAGTGGGAAGGTGCGTGGGGTTGGGGTTAAGGTGGGGGAGGTGGGAGTAAAATGACTAGAGCAGGACTTGAAATCCTGGCTGGAAATTAATAGGAGGCGCAGTGGTGAACATGCAGATGGGTCTGGGATTCTTTTAAGTATGGCTGGCGCATCGGAACGAGAGTATGAGTTCTGAGAATGACCTGTCATCTTTGCTTCTACGCAATCCACGGAAAGGAAAACAGTCCCCAAGTCCTGAATCGGGACACCGTGGGGTGCAAACAACAGATACTGAAGTTGATCTGAATAAGGTAGAATGAGGGATTTTATTCACTGTGTAGCTACTATGAGGATAGGGAAGAGGTTGTGTGTTGCTCTCTGGGATCCAAGGACTGGAGGTTCTGGGTTGTCTTCCTGCCCTATTCCCCCTCACCTCATGGCTCATTTCTCCTTTTCTCTGCTTATTGACCTTAGTGTCTGAGGCCACTGGTAGTTCCAGGTCCACCTCTTTAAGGCCTGAATGCCAAAGAGGAGGAGAGAGAAAAAGAAACACCCTCCCTACAAGCTCTGCAGACAATCCTGAATTTGCCCTGCTTGGGTCACATGACCACACCTGGAACAATCACTGTGTCCCGGCTCAGAAGTGGGCTGCTGTGATTGGTCATGCTGAGTCACAGGACTATGTACCAATTACTATAGCAGAGGAACAAGTACTGTGGGCGGCCATTTTTGGCCACCTTCCCATGGCATGGTGGGTCTGTTACCAGAAGTGGGAGAGAGTGTGTTGGCAGGAACAAAAAGCCACCTGCCTCCCCCAGGGCCTTCTGACTGTGTTACTGCTACATTCATTCTGCTGGGAATTGTCTCAATCTTGAGCCAGACTCTGCTTTAAGATCCCACTCTGGTTGTCTAACAAACCCCAAAGCTACCAGCCAAGATTTACCCAGACTTGTTGCTGTAGTTTTTTGTCATTGTCATTACGCGATTTTGATCAGATTCACAACGTTTTTGCGTCACTGGTTTATGATTGCCTCTGCCCATAAGCGTCGGAACCTCCTCTGTCTTTTGAATACGATACAGCTAGCTCATGCTCAGTCCCCAGCGCCTATGTACAGTAGGTAGGCAGGTAGTGAAATGAATGAACATCCCGCAGAGAACGAGAGGAGCTGCAGAATTCGCATCTGTTCTCCATGAGTCCCTTTCCGCCTCCCTCTCCACACCTTTCCTAGTTACCCCGTACTACATGACAAGGCTCTGTTGGTGTAAGTGCACCTTGGATCCTATTCATGTAAGTCCCTGGATGTCAACCCAACACACACTGGAGGTTCCGAATCTCTGGGTGTTTGAGTAAACATGATCATTTGGCAAGGATAATGGAGTTCTGTCTGAGCTCAGATGGACTGGGCACCATGACTGCTTGGCAGTGTCTCCCATGGCCACCTGCCATGTTAGGCATCCCTGGTCCTGCTCTGTGTTGTTTGCTAAACAGGGGGACCTCTGTTTTGTTGTTGTTGTTGTTTTCTCAGAAGGAGTGTCACTCTGTCGCCCAGGCTAGAGTACAGTGGCACTATTCCGGCTCACTGTAACCTCCACCTCCTGGGTTCAAGCTGTTCTCCTGCTTCAGTCTCCCGAATAGCTGGGATTGCAGGTGTGTGCCACCACACCCCTTTTTGTATTTTTAGTAGAGATGATGTTTCACCATGTTGGTCAGGCTGGTCTCGAACTCCTGACTTCAGGTGATCCACCTGCCTCGGCCTCCCAAAGTGTTGAGATTACGGGTGTGAGCCACCGCGCCCAGCTGGGACCTCTGTTTTTAAGACTGCAGCCCCGCCATCTGCTGGGATATCGGAGTACACTCAGAATCCAGGACAAAAATGGTGTGGCCAAATAAAATGACTGTGGGCTCTTAGGGAAGAAGGCTTAAGACACATGGTGTTTTTTTTGTTTTGTTTTTTTTTTTAAAGTGCTCATGACCCACATGTCAGGTGGGGTCATCTTATTTTTGGAGATTCAAATGAAATGGGCTTGAATCTTGTCCCATGTACCAGGGGAGACCCAACTGTCCTTGGAATCTTTCCAGGGATTGGAGGTGCATCTGTCTCACCCATACACCTAAGGCTCTAAATTCCTGCATCCTTTGAATCAGTTCTGCTTGGGCACTTTTTGCTAGCCCCAGGAGAAGGCTGGCCATCAAAGGCATGGAGCCTGTGCAGTGACACAAGCCCGCGTTGTTACCATCTTCAACTTTAAAATAAATTTTTGAACAAAGGGCTTCCCATTTTCATTTTGTCCTGGGTCCTGCAAATAAGGTGGCCAGTCCTGTCACACTCAGGGACTGTTCCTTCCTATCCCACCTTGATTCTGCCCCAATTCCTCATTCTCCCCAAATCCCATCCCACACGAGGATGTGGGTGTAGGAGGCCCGGAAGGTTTGGGACAAATGAAAATGTTGACCTTTCAGCCAAAGAAACAACATCAGTTGAAATGCTTGCGCTGCCTCTAAAAACATCACAGGCAAAAGGCTGAGAACTGGATGATGGGTACTGGGTGCTGGTTACGTACCACAAACTACTTTCAGGTATGGTGGGAAATTTCCATAATACAAAGTTGTGGGGTTTTATTTGTTTATTTATTTAGAGACAGGGTTTGGCTCTGTTGCCCAGGCTAAAGTACAGTGATGTGATTATACCTCACTGTAGCCCCAACCTCCTGGGTTCAAGTGATCCTCTCTCTCGCCTTGGCCTCGCAAAGTGTTGGGATTACAGATGTGAGCCATGGCTCACAATTTAAACTCTATAATACAAACTTTAAAAAGGCAATTAAGACCAGGCATAGTGGCTTGTGCCTGTGGTCCCAGCTACTCAGGAGGCTGAGGTGGGCAGATGGCTTGAGCCCAGCAGTTCAAGGTTGTGGTGAGCTGTGACTGCGCCACTGCACTCCAGCCTCAGTGACAGAGCCAGATCCTGTTTCAAGAAAAGAAAAAAATAAATAAAAAGGCAATATATTAAGACTTGCCTCTGGCAGTTCCTCAAAATGTTAGGTTTGTCTTATGGCCTAGCAATTCTACTCTGACCTATATGCCCAAGAGAAACGAAAGCACATGTTAACACAGAGATTTACACATGCATGTTCATTGCTGCATTATTCATAGTAGCCAGTAAGTGTCAGCAGCCCATACGTCCATCACTGACAGTGGGTAAACAAAATGGTGGTCTATCCATAAGACAGAATATGATTCATCTGTAAGAAAGAATGAAGTTCTGAGCCATACTACAGCGTGGCTGAACCTTGAGAACGTTGTAGTAAGTAAAAGGATCCAGTTGCAAAGGACTACATAATTGTGTGATTCTTTTTATAGGAATTGTGCAGAATAAACAAATCCATAGGGGCAGAAAGTGGATTCGTGATTGCTCAGGGTTGGGGGCATTGGAGGATTAGGGTGCAGGAGGGTTCTGGGTTTCTTTTCTTTTGAGATGAGTCTCGCTCTGTCACCCAGACTGGAGTACTGTGGCACAATCTGGGCTCACGGCACCCTCCGCCTCCCAGGTTCAAGCCATTCTCCTGCCTCAGCCTTCTGAGTAGCTGGGATTACAAGTGCACACCACCATGCCCGGCTAATTTTTGTACTTTTCGTAGAGATGGCGTTTTGCCATCTTGGCCAGGCTGATCTCAAACTCCTGACCTCTGATGATCCAGCTGCCTCAGCCTCTCAAAGTGCTGGGATTACAGGCCTGAGCCACCGTGCCCGGCCCAGGGTTTCTTTTTGAGTTGATGGTATTCTAACATTGATTATGATGATGGTTGCACAACTCTGTGTATACACTCAAAGACACTGAATCGTACGCATTAAATGAATAATCTCTCAATAAAGCTGCTTTAAAAAAAAGGTCACACCCTTCTCTGACACTCCTGCTAGGAACCCTTTGCCTCCAGCTCCCTGCCCTCTTGGGAAATCCCCTCTCTCTCTCCTCCACCCTCTTCCTACACACACACACACACACACACACACACACACACACACACACACCCCTGCCATTCTGTCTTCAGCTATTTTCAGCCGGGCATGGTGGCTTATGCCTGCAGTTCCAGCACTTTGGGACGCTGATGTAGGAAGATCACTTGAAGCCAGGAGTTCAACACCAGCCTAGCAACGTAGTGAGACCCCCATCTCTACAAAAGAATAAAAAAAAATTAGCCACGAGTGATGTTCACCTGTAGTCCCAGCTGCTCAGGCAACTGAAGTGGGAGGATCAGTTGGACCCAGGAGTTTGAGGCTGCATTGAGCTATAATGGCACCAGTGTACTCCAGCCTGGGCAACAGAGCAAGACCCTGATTCTTTTTCTTTTTCTTAGAGATGGGATTTCTCCATGTTGCTCAGGTTGGTTTTGAACTCCCAACCTCAGGTGATTCACCCACCTCAGCCTCCCAAAGTACTGGGATCACAGGCATGAGCCACCAAGCCCGCTGAACCTGATTCTTTAAAAATAGATGTATTTTTATTCTCACTTCCAAGAAGTGGCTTCCACAGGCAACGTGGACCATTGAGGTATTTTTCTAAACTACAATACTTTTTCCTCTTTAAAGTTACTCAGTTGTCAGCTACTAAAATTACAGTGTTCATATCCCCAGGGTATTCTATTGTGGCTGTCACTAAGAAATCCTCATAGATCTAATTTCCAAGAGCTTCAGAATTCCCTCAAAGAAGGAGCCAACCTAACCTCTCCAGAGACAGTGGTCACCTGTTCTGAAACCTAACTCTGTCACCTCGCAGGTGGGAAGAAAAGAACGTTGCCAGGGCCAAGTTCATGATGTTCTAACTGAAGGGCAGGCTTTTGCTCAGGAACAGGAGTCAGGAAATATTTGTTTTTGTAAATAAAGTTTTATGGCAACACACACCCACATCCATTAGTTTGTGTACTGTGTATACCATTTTAACTTTTGAGTTAAAACTTTAACTTTGGGAGGCTAAGGCAGGTAGATCACAAGGTCAGGAGATTGAGACCAATGTGGTAAACCCCAAGACCAACTTGGCCAGCATGGTAAAACCCCATCTCTACTAAAAATACCAAAATGAGCTGGGCATGGCGGCACATGCCTATAATCCCAGCTACTTGGGAGGCTGAGGCAGGAGAATCGCTTGAACCCAGAAGGCAGAGGTTACAGTGAGCTAAGATGGTACCATTGCACTCCCGCCTGGGCAACAGCAAGACTCCACCTCAAAAAAAGAAAAAAAAAAAAATGGCAGAGCTGAACAGCTGCAACAGAGGCCATATTGCCTGCAAAGGCTAAAATCTTCACAATCTGGCCTTTTACGGAAATAGGCTGCTGACCCTTGGAATGGAAGTTCCAGCCCCGAGCCCCAGCTCTTCACATGCTGGGTGTGTAGCCTTGGACAAGTCAGTGCAGCTCCCTAAGTCTGCTTCCTCATCAGTAAGCTGGATCTCCATCAGTCCCTTTTATGTGTTGCTTATGCAACTGAAATGACTTCATACATGTGTAGTGCCTAGTACATACAAAATATTTAGTCCATATCAGTAGTTATGATGTTATTTAGAAAATAAAGATGGCAGATTCTGCTTCACAAGTTTACTTGAAACAATGGATCATGCCTGTGCAAACAGCTGGCAAAGAACAGTATAAATATGTTTAAGTCAGGTGCACTGGCTCAGGACCATAATCCCAGCACTTTGGGAGGCTGAGGTGGGCAGATCACTTGAGGTCAGGAGTTCGAGACCAGCCTGGCCAACATGGTGAAACCCCATGTCTACTAAAAATACAAAAATTAGCCAGCCGTGGTAGTGCATGCTTGTAGTCCCAGCTACTTGGGAGGCTGAGGCTGGAGGATCGCTTGAGTCCAGGAGTTCTGGGCTGTAGTGTGCTATGCCAGTCGGATGTCCGCACTAAGTTTGACATCAATATGGTGACCTCCTGGGAGCAGGGGACCACCAGGTTGCCTAAGGAGGGGTGAACCTGCCCAGGTTGGAAATGGAGCAGGTCAAAACTCCCGTGCTGATCATTAGTGGGATCGTGCCTGTGAATAGCCACTGCACTCCAACCTGGGCAACTCAGCAAGACCTCGTCTCTTAAAAAAGAAAAAATTAGCCAGACACAGTGGTGCGTGCCTGTAATCCCAGCTTCTGAGGCTGAGGCGGGAGAATCACTTGAACCCTGGAGGTGGAGGCTGCAGTGAGCCGAGATCATACCACCGCACCACTCCAGCCTGGGCAACAGAGTGAGACTCTGTCTCAAAAAAAAAAAAAAAATGTTTACAATTGTTATAAATATCTTCTAGGCTTTTGAGACCATTCTTTGCTTCTTAGTACTGTTTAGATTTTGGAGCTTTGAGTGTTGATGATCTTCCAATTTCAGAGGAAAAGGGATCATTTCTCCAAACCCTCTCACTGACCAATTCAGGGGACCACAACCCCTGACCCCCAGCTGGGTCTTGAACCTGCCTAGAACTATCATCCAACTATTATTTGGGCTATACCCTGCCACTTCCTCAGTGTAGGCGCTCCAGAAGCCAAGCCCGTTTGCCATTATTTTTATTTATTTATTTATTATTTTTTAAAGATGGGGTTTCACCATGTTGGCCAGGATGGTCTCAATCTCCTGACCTCGTGATCCACCTGCCTTGGCCTCCCAAAGTGCTGGGATTATGGGCATGAGCCACCATGCCCAGCCTTATTTTATTTATTTATTTACTTATTTATTTTGAGACAGAGGCTCACTCTGTCACCCAGGCTGGAGTGCAGTAGTGCAGTTTCAGCTCACTGCAATCTCTGCCCCCAGGTTCAAGCAATTCTCATGCCTCAGCCTCTTGAATAGCTGGAAATGACAGGTGAATGCCACCACACCAGGCTAATTTTTGTATTTTTAATAGGGATGGGGTTTTGCCACGTTGGCCAGGCTGGTCTCGAACTCCTGACCTCAGGTGATCCATCCGTCTCAGCCTCCCAAAATGCTGGGATTACAGGTGTGAGTCACCACACCCAGCCCCCACATGCCTTCAAATACTTGTATTACCTTTGAACCCCCTACCCAGAGCCCATTAAGCAGGAATCTACTCCAAGGTGTGGGCACACAGGTTTGGGGCAGGGGGAGGATCTTAGGGGACCCTCATGGGCTGTCCAGAAGCCTGCTGGGGGTTGGGGGGTGGTGATTGGGATAACTGACACCTGACATTGCACCACTGACTTGCTTCCCTGGAAGGTGTCATTTAAGTAGGTTAGGTCCCGTGAGATACAGCAGTCTCTGATTCTGTGACTTCATGATACAGCTATTAGCTGAGCATCTAATACAAACTAGGCCCTGAGGATACAGCAATGAAGAAGTCATGGCCTCTGCCCTTAGCAACTGCCCCGCCTGTCTTTTAATGGAGGCAATTCAGCCCCATAAGGAGTCTTCATATTCTCCCAGGATCTAAGTCCCACTACAAAACACCATGCTCATGACTTGGAAAATGACTGCGGGCCTGGCTGTGTGATGCATAGCTGGTAGGAGTTAAGAGTGACAGCTCTGGAGTTCCTTAGATCAGTGCAGGACTGGCTACATAATTTGCAAAATGGAAGTCTGAGTCCCCTTGTTCCAAAGTTATTAAGGCTAGAGTGCAGTGGCGCTGTCACAGCTCACTGCTGCCTCGACCTCCTGGGCTCAAGCCAGCCTCCCTCCTCAGCCTCCTGAGTAGCTGGGACTACAGGGGCGTGCCACCATGCCTGGGTAATTTGTTTGTTTGTCTGTTTGTTTTAAAGAAATGAGGGGGCCAGGCACGGTGGCTCACACCTATAATCCAGGCAGGTAGATCAATCACAAGGGCAAGAGTTTGAGACCAGTCTGGCCAACACAGTGAAACACCATCTCTACTAAAAAAAA